CGCATCGCCCGCCCCAGCCTTTGCGGCGCGCACGACTCAGGCAAAGGCGGCGCAGCGCCATCCAAGGCAGGGCAGCAAGGCCGGGATCCTGCGCCCCGCGCAGTCCAGGCGGAGGATCGAGCCCCTTCCCCTCTCCTTTTAGCCTCCTCCTGGCTCCGCTCCGGGGAACAGGCAGCCCGGGTGCGAGAGGCCAAGGGAGCGCCGGCGCGTGTGCAGAGCGCCGGCAGAAGGTTCCGCTTTTGCCCTCCCCACCTCGGGAGCCGGGGGTCTCCTCCGGGGGTCTTCCAAGAGCATCACGTCCTTGCCCAACTGAGGTCAATCGGAGGAAGAAATGGCTCAAAGTATTTACACTCTTGGTGGGAATCAGGGTTCCCTTCTGCTGGGACACCGCCAGGCGGGGGGGGGGCGTCTGGCGGGGAGGAGCCGTTGCTGAGCACCCTTTGGTGGCCCACCCCCCCTCCAGCTCCAGACCCACTGAGCAGGATTGTCACCCCCCAAGCATCTTTTACCAGTTTCCCAGGAGCACTGGGGTCTTGTTCACAACTCAGAGAAGTTATTTGGGGGGCTAAAGTTTTCGCCCAAATAAGTAACTTCTCCGATTCCTAATTTTGTCGCCACCAGGACACAACACAGCCAGAGGATTCCCTTGATCTCCTAAATGTCATGTCCAAGCAAGAAGTATGTTGTTGTTTTTTGAAAAAAATGTTTTCGAGCAGCAGATAAGTGAATCCGCAGATGCTGATCCAGCGGATGGCGGGGGTCCTAGTGTATTCACAAATAGCTGGGTTTCTGTAGGATTGCTTTAAAAACCTTCCAACATTGCCCTGGTTATTTCTTTCTCTCCCGTGACCTCCAAGGATTTTCAACACTCATAGACTGAATCCAGCTTGAATGGGTGGTTCAGAGAAACCCATTGAAATCAAGGGAGACTTGAAATCAAGGGTCTGGCCCTGGGGTTCGGGGTCCTTTTCATACCCTACAATTACATTTGCTAGGCTTTGCAAGAAAGTGAATTTAAAGGCGGAGACAAAACATTATGGATGACCACTGACTGATGATGAAACCACTTCATGTTGGATTGACTTGACTGAGGTGGCCTTTGGTAACATGTCAAAGGAATCTTGCGCTTACATCTTGAAGGCTAGTCACAAACACTCAGCAGGCTGATTTGCAAATCACAGGTTAGAAAAGCTCCTGCACTCAGACACTTTTCAGTAGACAAGGAAATCCCCCTTCTAATGACAGATTATCTGTAATGTATATTCTCTGCTCCACATTTAAATGCCCTCCCTCCTGTTGGCCTTGGGTTTAGGCCAACAGGAGGTGTAACATTCTCAGTCAAGAATTAGGGCCCGTCTCTCTGGTCTTTATCGGCAGAAAATCTGGGATGGGTTTTTTTTTGGGGGGGGGGGGGGGATCTCACTGGTCTTTATTGGCATAAAATCCGGGATGGGTTTTTTTTTTGGGGGGGGGAGGGTGTAAAATAAACACTGTGATGGATAGTGACTGGGACCAGAGGTTCCCATTACTCCGTGACAAAGGCACCAGAAAGAATCCATGTTAGCAGCTTGGGGGAGGGGGGACACCAAGGACTTAGGTTCAGAGTTCTCAAGGGAAAGGATTTTTAACCTTTCAGGGTGGAGGAAAACCCCCTGTAGAAGAGTTGAGAAGTCATCAAAGCATCATGCCACGGGTAAGCCCGGAAGAGTGCCAGCTCCCCACCCAAAGGCTCTGAATTTTAATCCTGCTCCACTATAGAGGCAAGCTTCAGCGTTGCCGACTTCTGAAGAGCGCCTTTTCCAAAAGGGGAAAAGAGAGAAAAAAAGAAAGAAACAGATTCTTGTTTCCTTTAAAAAGTTATTTATTAGTCAGGTTTTTATTTCATTTTAATTTCTGGAAAGCAGTTATGGTTCTCCTGTACAAAAAAAGTGTCCCCTCCCAGTTACATCAAAGGTGATTAAACAAACGGAGATGTGGCGCAGGTCGGCTGGTCAGACAGACAAGGGTCTCGCACCCGGCCGCCCGTGGTCACTTGGGTCCAGACGGTGCGAGATCAGGTGCCCGGCTTAGGTACGCCGGACCCAGCCCGGTTGGGCTAATCCTCCGGGGAAGCTGGTTGCCCACAGAGGCGGTGGCAGCGGCGGGATTAAGGTTAATCTCATTGGCAGTGGCTGTCCTGGCCTGATCTGATTTCCCCGGACGGAGGCGGCGGGCCGAGGGAAGTGAAGGATGCTCTGGCTGAAGACTCACAGGACGGATTGGGGGGGGGAGCATCCCTCCGCACACACACACACACACGCAAACACAAATAGAGATCCATAGGGGGGAGCCGGCAGAAATGAGTGAAGGTGTGGGGGGTGCCAACTGGCCAGCGGCTACTGACCCCAGCTGATGGGCCACAGGGCTCAGGAGCAGGTTAAAGTGCTCGGGCAGACCCACTCCGGAGACGGACCCTTCTCGGCTTCAGCACCAAATCGACCCGGAGAGTGGAACGCAAGGAGGGCTCCCCCTGCAGGTGGGT